ACTTATTGGGGAATAAAAAAACCGAGGAAAGACAAAGCAGATAAAAAGAATACAGGAAAACGTATAGTTGTTTGAGTTCCTTGTATACTCTGGATACTAATCCCTTGTTGGATCCAGGGTTTGTGAACATTTTCTCCCATTCTGTAGGTTGTTGTTTCACTCTATTGACTGGTTTTTTTTTTTTTTGCTGTGTAGAAGCTTTTTAGTTTAATACAATCCCATTTGTTTCTTTTTTCTTTTTTTGCTTATGCTTTTGGGGTCTTATTCAAAAAGGCTTTGCCCAGCTTTACTTCCTGAAGTGTTTCCCCTGTGTTTTCTTTTAGTAGTTTTATGGTTTCAGGTCTTATACTTAAGTCTTTAATTTATTGAGTTGATTTTGGTTTATGGTGAGAGGTACAGATCTCGTTTCATTCTTCTGCATATGGATGTTCAATTTTCCCAGCATTGTTTGTTGAAGAGGCAGTCTTTTTGCAATGTATGTCCTTGTTGTCTTGATCAAGGATCAATTGGCTATAAGTATGTGGGTTGATTTCTGGGTTCTCTATTCTGTTCTATGGTTCAAAGTGTGTTTTTATGCCAGTACCCTGCTGTTTTGGTTACTATAGCTTTATAGTATAATTTGAAGTCAGATAGTGTAATGGCTCCAGTTTTATTATTTCTTTGCTCAGGATTGCTTTGGCTATTCAGGGTTTTTCCTTGTTCCATATGAATGTTAGAATTGTTTTTCTATTTCTGTGAAGAATGTCATTGGTATTTTGATGGAGATTGCATTGAATCTGTAGATCACTTTGGGAAATATGGACATTTTGACAATATTGAGTTTTCCAATCCAAGAGCATGGAATGTCTTCTCATCTTTTTGTGACTTCTTTAATTTCAGTAGTGATTTATAGTTCTCATTGTAGAGATCTTTCATCTCATTGGTTAAATTGATTCCTAGGTATTTTATTTTTTTTGGTGACTATTATAAATGGGCTTACTTGATTTCTCTTTCGGTTAGTTCTTTATTGGAGAATATAAATGCAACTGATTTTGGGGTGTTGATTTTATATCCTGCAACATTACTGAAATTATTAATCAGCTCTAAGAGTTTTTGGTAAAGTCTTTAGGTTTTTTTCATATATAGGATCATGTCTCTGCAAATAGGGACAATTTAACTTCATCTTTTCCAATCTGGATGCCCTTTCTTTCTTTCTCTTGCCTGATTGCTCTGGCTAGTACTTCCAACAATATGTTGAATAGGAGTGGCAAGGGTGGGCATCCTTGTCTTGTTCCTGTTCTTAAGGGAAAAGCCTTCAGCTTTTCCCCATTCAGGATGATATTGATGATGGGTTGTTCTATATGGCTTTTATGGTTTTGAGATACTTTCCTTCTACATCTATTTTGCTGAGAGTTTTTATCATGAAATGATGTTTAATTTTGCTGACGCTTTTTCTGCATCTTTTGAGATAATCATACGGTTTTTGTCCTTGATTTTGTTGATGTGGTATATCACATTTATTGACTTGCATATGTTGAGCCATCCTTGCATCTCTGGGATGAATCTCACTTGATCATGGTGTATACTTTTTTTGACGTGTTGCTGTATTCTATTATTCTAATATTTTCTTAAGGGTTTTTGCTTCTATGTTCATCAGAGATATTGGCATGTGGTTTTCATTTTTTTGTCATATCTTCATCTGATCTTGGTATCAGGGTGATGTTGGCCTCTGTTTCAATTTTCTGGAATAGTTTGAAGAGTATTGGTATTAATTATTCTTTAAAGCTTTGGCAGAATTTAGAAGTAAAGGGAAGGCTATTGGCTTCTTTGTTTTGGTTTTGTATCCCTCCACTGTACTGAATTAATTTATTAGTTCTAACAATTTTTTGGTAGCGTCTTTAGGGTTTTCTATGTATAGGATCATTGTATCTGCAAATAGAGGTAGTTTGACTTCCTCCTTTCTGATTTGAATGCCCTTTATTGCTTTCTCTTGCCTTTTTGCACAAGCTAGAACTTCCAGTAAGTACTATGTTGAATAAAAGTGGGGAAAGTGGGCATCTTTGTCTTGTCTAGCTCTTGGAGGAAAAGCCTTCAATTTTTGTCCATTCAGTATGATATTAGTTGTGGGTTTGTCATATATGGCCTTTATTGTATTGAGATGCATTCCTTCTATTCCTAATTTTTTGAGTGATTTTTAATCGTGAATGAGTGTTGAGTTGTATAAAATACTTTTTCTGTGTCTTTTGAAATGGTCATAAAGTTGTTTCCCTTCATTTTGTTGATGTATCACGTTAACAGATTTGTGTATGTTGAACCATCCTTGCATCCCTGATATGAATTATACTTGATCACGATGTATGATCTTTCTAATGTATTGTTGGACTCTGATTGCTAGTATCTTGTTGATGATCTTGTCATCTGTGTTCATTAGGGATATTGGTCTGTAGTTTTCTTTTTTTGTTGTGTCTTTTTCTGGTTTTGATATGGGGGTAATGCTGGCCTTGTAGGATGAGTTTGGAAGTTTTCTTTTCTTTTCAACTTTTTGGAAGTTTGAAAAGAATTAGTATTAGTTTTTCTGTGAATGTTTGGTAGTATTAGGCAGTGAAGACATCTGGTCCTGTGTTTTCTTTGTTGGAAGACTTTTTATTACTGCCTTAATCTCATTACTCATTATTGGTCTGTTTAGGTTTTCTAGTTCTTCATATTTCAACCTTGGTGAGTTGTATGTGTCCAGGAATTTATCCATTTCTTCTAGGTTTCCCAGTTTGTTTGTATACAGTTGTTTGTAGTAGTCTCTTATGATCCTTTGTATTTCTGTGTTGTCAGTTGTAGTGTTCTCTTTTTTATTTCTGATTTTATTTATTTGAGTCTTATTTCTTTTTTTCTTCATTAATCTACCTAGAGGTTTATCAATTTTGTATATGTTAAAAAAACTCAACTCTGTGTTTTTCTGATTTTTCGTATTGTTTTTTAAATCTTTAATTCATTTATTTCTGCTCTGATCTTTGTTCTTTCTCCCTTTCTACTGATTTCGGGTTTGATTTGTTCTTGTGTTTCCAACTCCCTGAATTGTAGTGTTAGGTTGTTTATCTGGAGTCTTCCTTCT